CTGTCCTTACCGCACTGTCACCAGCGTGGACGTGGTCCCCATGGGGCTGCTCAGAGCCACCACCAGGTCCCCCCTGCGGCTGTAGCTCAGCGACAGCTGGACCTGGACGTGCTCCAGGGAGCGGATGCTCTCGGAGCAGGAGGAGACATCCGTGGAGATGGTGAGCCTGGAGCCGATGTCCCTGTCCAGGACAAGCTGTGGGGTGAGGGCGTTCCCTGACGGGGCAAATCCCCGTGGGAGGCTGGACCTGGGCTCGCTGTCCCTTACCTGGGGACCTGAACGGCCTGGACCGAGCACTTCTCCTGAGGCCGAGTCCCTGTCCACGTGGTGGCCGCCTGCACCAGCAGCCCCGCGTCCAGCAGCCCGTAACCGTAGTAGTGGCTCACTGGGACACAGGTGGCACCCAAGAGAGGGACCCGTGAGCCCCTGGGTGCCACCAGGGGGCTGCTGGAAGGTGTCCCAGGGGCTGAGCCCTGCACTCACCCCTGCGCCCCACGCCGTTCTCGGCCCAGTCCTCTGCCTGCAGGTGAGCGGGTTTGGAGGCCCTGACGATGAGGTGCTGCAGGTCACGCCACGTCAGGGCTGGGCTGGAAGCAAGGAGGACATGGGGACAGAGGTCTGGGTTGGTTTTTAAGGGGGAAATTTGGATCTTCTGGCGTGGGTAGAGCAACTGTCAGGGCCCAAGCTGATCCCCCCCAGTGATCTCCTTCAGTGCTAAAATGGGTGCAAAGAGCTCCAGAGGACAATCCTCCCCCTGTGCCGTGGCCCTGGAGGAAGGCCACGACTCTGCACCCCAACCTTCCTGCTGTCCCTCCCCTTCCTTGCCCCTGCTTGGGCACCAGCTCTCCCTGGCAGTGTCCCTCTGTCTCGGTGTCACCTACTTGGCCTCCAGTGCCAGGGCCACCATCCCCGCGGCCAGCGGGGCCGAGGCGGAGGTGCCGGTGTGTTTGTCTGTGCAGCGGTGGTGCAGGTCAGTGGTCACCTGCGGGGACAGGGGGTGCTCTCAGCACTGTTCCCAAGAAATCTGCCCGGAGCTGGGGTACCTTCAGCAAATTCTCCTTTTGGAGACACCGTGCTGGGATCTGCGTCTGCCCCGGAGCTCTTGTGACACTCACAATCTGCACCTTGCTGGTGGTCCTGCTGCTGTAGGTGGTGGTGAGGATGGCGGGGCAGCTCTCGCTGTAGCGGGGCCGCTGCCCGTCCCCCAGGACGCTGCCCACCGACACCGTGTAGATGCTGTTGGTGTAGCCATCGCAGTTGCAGTTGTCGTAGTTGGTGCCACCGTTGCCTGAGGCCCAGATAAAGATGGAGCCGAGCCCGCCCCGTCCCTGTTGAAGAGCAGAGAGGGGTGAGCACGGTGTCCTCGCGTCCCTGCGGTCCCCGAGGTCGGGGCTGGGCGTACTTGGACCACCCCTCTCTGGAAAGCGGCCGCAGCCAGGACTCCCGGCCCGTCCACCGTCCTGCCGTCGTCCTCGGGGCCCCAGCTGGCGCTGTAGATGTGGATGTACTGCAGCTGCAGGCCCAGGGCCTGAGCCTCCACGATGTCGGTGATGGAGCCGTCCAGCATGCGCACACCTGAGGGCAGGAACCGCTGCAGCACCGGGAGAGGCCGCGGTGGCTGCGAGGGGACGGGAGCCAGGCAGGTGCCACCCCGAGGGAAGGACCTGGGGACACCTTGCCAGGACCCCCACAGCTTCCAGCAGCTTTCACATGACCCTGCCCTAAGGAGATCAGGCCCCCGTGCCGCTGCCGTGAGCTGCTTCCCAAAGCTCCTCATTAAGCCTTTTGTAATTAAGCCCAGGGAGTGCTCCCGGCTTTTAACCCCCTTTGCCACCCTCCCTTCCCACGGCAGAGCCTGAGCCTGCCCTGCTGGGTGTTGGGCTGAGCACTGAACGCCGGGCTGGGGTAACACTGCAGCACCCTGGGCACCCCGTGAGCCCCAGAGCAGCCAGCCCTGGCCATTCCAGGGGGCTGGAGCTGATTTCCAACTCCCCTCCCACGGGAGCAACGTCTCACCTCCGATTTTGGAGTTGTAGGCGACGCCTGCACCACAGACCCCGTTGTTGGCCACAGCTGCCACTTCCCCTGCACAGCGTGTCCCATGCCTGGGGGGCACAGAGTGACCCTGTGAGGGGTGGGGGGCCTGGGACAGCCCCAGCCCCCCCAGAGATGAACCCCCCCCCAGCGTGGGGAGCTGGGCAGAACCCACCAGTTCTTGTCCCCCTCTCCGTATCGGGGTTGGGGATCGGGGTCGTTGCTGTTGAAGTCGTAACTTGCCAGCGGGTCCTGTTACAGAGCGAGGCAGCGGCGTGGGCCAAAGGGCCTGGGCAGGGCTGTGACAGCTCGGCACAGGCGCCTGGCACCGGGCCCGGCGCTGGCACCGCCGAGGGCCAGCCCGGGGGGACAGCGGGGCCCCTTCGTGCCCAGCTGCACCCGGAGCTGGAGCCAAACCCTGAGAGGGAAGGGAGCACCAGCAGGGGCTGAGGGAGCTGGGAAGGGGGCTCAGCCTGGAGAAAAAGAGGAGCAGGGGGGACTTTCTGGCTCTGCACGACTCCCTGACAGGAGGGGACAGCCGGGGAGTGTTGGGCTGTGCTCCCAGGGACAACAGGGAACAGCCTCAAGCTGTGCCAGGTGGGAGGACAGCAGGAATTTCCTCATGGAAAGGGCGGTCAGGCCTTGGCAGGGGCTGCCCAGGGAGGTTTGGAGACGACATAC